ATTTGATATGGTTATTTAAAATTTCAGTTTTAAGTATCTTATGAGTTGCAATACACTTTGAATCAACAAATTCTAAATTGTGCATGATTTTTATTTATTTTCTCTTGTTTTGTATTGTACATAAGTTTGTTTATCAAAAGAAATCTAATATAAAGCATTATTTATAGATAATTGTTCTACTATAGTTAGTACTACTTAAGAGTAGAGTTACTGAAAATTAACCTTCTTGATATCCATACGTCATATATGATTTAATTATAATGTATTAAATTAATTTCAATCAATAATTGTGGTAATGGTAGGGTCATTTTATTTGAATGAGTCCTTAATATGATTTTAAATTATAATTGATGAGTAAATACTATCTATTCATTTTAATATTTATTATTTTATCCTTTCAAAAAGTATAAAATAATAAATATTTTCTTTTCAAACTACACCTAAGTTTATTTGAAACAAAAATAATTGTTTTCAGATTTTCAATCTGATACTGATGACCAAAATTATTCAAATCAGTAATAGAATTATAAAGATATACCAATAATATACTACCTATGTTGCTGAAAAATAACGTTAAGAATTTATCTTATAGATATAGAGAATAAGGCAAAATAAATGTGAAGGTTTACTAATAAAAAATAAACAGCTCATTAAATTTTTGTAAATAAATGTTATTGTTTAAATTATTTAGAAGAAAATAAAGTAAAAAGATTTATAATTAAACTACTTATCAAATTAATAAAATTAAAAATCATAAATTATTAATACTTTTTAAATCTAAATCATTACTCTAATGATAATAAGATTCTATTTTTAGCTATTTTTACTTAGTTACTTCTCGTTAGTGATGCCCGATATTAATTGGAAGTAGCAGAGTAAAAGGATCTATTTTATATAATTAAATTACTTTTGAGCTTTGATTTATGCTTTTGATATTTTTAATAAATGTGTTTTTAAAATTTTAAAATTTAATTGAACTCTTTATTCATTTTTGCTCCATTACATAAGTAATTTTCCTAGATAAACTGTATTTTTAGAATTTGAGTGTATTGATCTAAAAATATTATGCAGAATAGTTATGAAATATATTCGATATTTTTTAACATAAGATCTAAAGATATCTAAAATAAATTGATAACATAGTTTAATAATAAGAATTATAATAAAAACTTACAATATTTGAGAAGATGCATTTTCAAATTGCTGTTCACTAACATATTTAGAAATTGCAATAAAAATAGCTAAAGAGCAAATTTAAGATGCTTCAAGATCTAAATTATTTAATTTTTATAGATTGTAAGGTTATTACTTTCCTGCTATTATTTAGTATATTAATAATAATAATCCTAATAAAGAGGCTTTTAAGAGTATATTAGATTCAAAATAAGTCATAATAAGGATTATGATAATCTTTTTTGAAAACTTGATTTACTCCCAGAAGTAGTTTGATTCATTATATTCATCAAATAAATAACAAATATGCCTTCTAAATTTAATCTTATTAAATCTTTTCTTTGTTAGAAACATAAACAAAAATAAAGCAAATGGAATACAAACTCCAAATAACACTAATCCAGGAATAGCAAATTTATATATCCATTAATTATGATTTAAGGAACCAAAAAGTAATGTTAAATCTCCCTATATATATTCTATTTTCGATATAATTCTTTTTGATACAATTGAACAAAATCTTATCATAAATAATATAATACTATTTGATTAATCCAGAGAAATTCGATACATATAAATATAATAATGTATTTGAAAGAATGTATGTTTGAAATTTAGCATTAGAGATTAATATATATATTTGATATCCTATCAAAATGATTACAAATTAAATTAGTAACAATAAAATAGTAGCAATAATTCTAAGATAAATTAGGTCAATTTAAGAGAGTTAAGATAAATAACAATCAAGACTCGATGCCATAAATTAAGAAGTATTACTAGTTTGATCTATAAAAGAAAATGAAATCGAAAATTGAATATTAAATGTAAAAATCGCTGAAAATATCCATAAATAGATGAACAACATCTTAATGAAAATACCTGACATATCTAACCTATAAAAACATAAATATAATACCTTTTTCCAGTTTAAATAAGATCTTTCTATAAATTAATTTAAATTACAGATTAGAAAATAACAAATTAGATTATTCAATACTTCTTAATGTGATCACTATTGAAAAAATAGCCCTTATATAGTTTAATCTAAATACCAAACAAAAGAGAACAGAAAGGGCATGATGTTATTAATTGAGCAATTATAACATTAGGAATCCTATTAATTCCTAAAAAAATTTCCTTCTCCTCTTTTATTATGATAATCACATTCCTCACACAATCCTCCAAGATGTCCCAAAGAGCAAAGTTCATCTCCTACTTTCCATCCTCCTTTACAAAATAAGATATTTTTGAAACAATAATCAGTATAATCAGAGTATAAATTTGGCCTCCAATAACCTTCTAATAATTAAATAGCATTTGAGGATATATTTGCAAATTTAGTTTTATCAAATATTGAACATTTTGTAGCATCATATGTTACTGAATAAAAACCAAAAATTGATTCACAAATTTAGCATCCTTCATCAATATAGAACTCTCCTAACTAACATTTGTAAGTTCTTGCATTTATTAAATATAATAACTGGCTTTTTGAATTATTTGATGAGCAATTAATCAATATTTATAAATTATGATTTTTATCTTGATAAGGATTGTAAATAAATTAAATATCTCCTAAATCAAAGCGATTCAATTCATTAGCTTGAAGAGAACTAATCAATTTTGATTCTTTAAATGATTAAACCTAATTAAGCTCAGTAGTTGCTTATTAAACAAAGCAAGTGAATTAATGTGAATTTTATTGTTATTCATTTCTGCTATTTTTTACTACGATCCCCATATCATTAAATATAGTATAAAAAATCTATAACTATGGGATAAAAATTTTATATTCTTTGATTGCCTATCCACTTGGTATCATCAAATAATTACTAAATTTAATAACTCCTTAATCTAATATTTAATAGGATTTAAGTTTAAGAACTTGTATTATATTGTTATTAATTATAAGTTCCTCTGCTTACATTTCTTGAGAATTAATTAATAAACTTAAATGAGTTGGGAATTCAAATAAATTATTTGACAAAAAATCTGCTTGATTGAATTACATAAAGGTTTGAATCAAATTTTCTTAATTAATATTTCCGTTTTGAAAAAGGTATATACCACCTCCTTCAAATGCTTTGTTATTGATAATTGATGATTTATTAATAATCAAATATTTGGTATCCATATTCAAAAATATTCCGCCACCTTAATCTCTGGCGACATTATTAATTATAGAACACTAAATAATATTGATTGGTATGTTGGATGAATATATAGCAGTTCCAGAACTACCATTATTATTGAAGAAATTAGAATTTTAAATTATAAAATTTCGATTAATCTTAGTAGTTGCTTCAATATTCATACATCCATAATTTTTTATATGATTAGAATTAAAAATAAGATCTCTAATTTTTAAGGATTTATAGTTCTCAATATTGAAAAAAATCAATCCATTTAAACAATAAGAACAATTAATCTAATGTAAAAATACATTTTAAATTTCGATAACTGTATTATTTGAATTCGTATAAAATTAAATTATAGAACTCACTTTCTAGGCTTATTAAAAAAGTTTGATAATTTAACTAAAAGAATAAGTAGCTTATTCTTATTATATTTCAATTTAAGAACAACCTTAAATCATATAATTTATTTTAGAATTTTAATAGATTAGATTTTCAGTGATTTCATAAATTTAAATTCTTTAAAAATTTCCATAATTAATATATATTGTTTATTTAATCTATAAATCTTATCTTACTTCTATAAGATTGAAAGCATAAAACAATTTAATCTCTATTGCCCTTAATTAAAAGATTAATAAATAAGATACATTAATCAATTTAATTAAAGGACAACCAAAAAGACCCTAAATAAGAATCTTAGACATAACCACTTTACAATTTTGTAATTGAATTAAAGCATTAGTGGTACTAGCTATATCTAAAATCTCATTTTAATTTAGCATCCCAGTCTTTTCAAAGTATTTCATCCAAATACCTTCTTAAAAGTTGATATTTGCATTTATGATAATCACTTTATTTGAATTAATATACTATGTTGAAAATAATATATTAATTAATGGATTTATTAATGATATACAATTTTTAATTATGATATCCTAAATGAAAACTGTATTTTTCTATAATGATGGATGTATTGTAAGTACTGATGCTGCCATACGATTAAAAATATTTATTAATATTGCATTAATGATTTTTAAATCAAGCAAACTGTTAGATGAATAGATTGTAATACAACCTGTGCTATCTGTTATTTAACTTAGATCGTATTCAGAAGAATTTATTGTTAAATTTCTTAATTGGATATTTCCATTACCTTAAGTTTTTATCTCAAATACAGTACTTTTCAATCCAATAAAATCCTAAAAAAAACAATTAAAGCAAAAAAATGTAGATGCTGCTATTGATCCCCCTTTATTTAATATTTTGAAACTTTATTATATCATTAAATTTGTTTATTCCTAATCATATTCATCTATATCATTTTCTAATTATATATCATAATATAATTTCCATAATTATAAAGGCAGTATATTATGATTTGAAACAGTATAATTTGTTATTGTGATGATCTCAGATTTTAGAAACATAAATGAATTGGAAGAATTAGTCAGAGCATTATAAGCACATTACAGATTATTTATTTTTATATATCCTTAATTTGATTCTATATGAAGCAATGCCGCTGCGGAATCTTAAGGATCATCAATTTACTGGTGAATGAAATTGTTTTCAAATAAAACATTTTCTATTTAAATATTAGCATTATGTTCAGAATTAATCTAAACAAAAGAGAAAAAATTGGCTTGGTTCTAATGTAATAATAAATTTCCAATAAACTCTAAATTTATTAATTCTAGACTTGAAGGTATATCAGTCCATTTTTTTCTAGTTGATATTTAAATTAATAAAATATCTACACTAAATAATTTAATAACCTTTATATTTTTCAATGTAACAAGAGAGTATCCAGAAATTAAAAGTAGTTGATAATTAAAATTTTAGAACTCTACACAATTTAAACTAGAAGGCACTCTATTATTATTCTTCAGATTTTCATAAATTATATTTGATGCAATTATTTGAGATACTTCAAAAAAATTAAATATTCTAAGCTTATTTGAATCAGCTATGTAAATCTGATCTATTTCTAGTTTAAAACAATGAAGATTGAATAAACTACTATCTTGATATTAAGTATTATATCCTTAGTTTAATTGTATTTTAACTGCTCTTAAGCTATAATTCATATTTTCATTCGATATTTAAAATAAACTAGAAGTGGTATAATCATTTTGGCTTGCTAATAATTTTTCTACAAAACAAAATACCTTTTTCTTACTGTCTGTTTCCAATGTTGCAATAAATTATGATTCTATAAAATTGTTATTGTTTAATTAACTTTACAACAAAGTAAAATTCTTATTAAATGCAATAATAGTTGATAGATTTATTGAATTTTTATCAAGTATAACATTATTTAGATAAATATCTTATAAATTAGTGCAATTAAAAAGATATGAATTTTGAAAGTTACTTGATGTTATTGTTATTGCTCGAACTTCCAGTTTGCTTTCGCCTTCAAGATTTTAAAAAAAAGTGATAAACGAAGAATTATGAAAGAAGGTCTTGTTTATAATTAATTATTCAATCTCTATTTAAACTTGGTTATTAACAAAATAAAATAGTTGTGAGTTTTAAATACTACAATTTTACAAAACCATCTTTTATATTTTTATTGTTCCTTATAATAATTTTTAATTGAAGTTGAATAATGATGTGGTATTGAAATTAGTATTGATAATTTAAATGTTATTCATAGTTACATCTCCAAATATTTCTGAATCAAATAAAGAGGTGATGTTGTTAATTTAATTTTGTTAAATCACTATATTATTTAAGATGATATCAACTTTCTGATTTTAATTTTTGAATTGAAAATAATTATTATTATTTGCTTATAAAATTGCGTCATTAATTTCTATAGAATCATATCCAGAGACATAATAAAAGTATAGCTTATTTTGGTAAAGATTAAATACAGTTTTCAACTATTGTAAACTAAAAATTAATTATTTTAATTCTGTGATTTAAGTTATACCAATATTAGATGTTTTCCAATCATTTTAAAATTTCAAGACTTTTAATCCAATTTAATTACAATAATGGATATCAATTTTATCATCTGAGTTTTTCTAATAAGCAGATTATTTAAAAGTAAATTCTACATTGCAATTTGGAGCAAAACAATATTTAGCTATTTAAAAGTAGGGATCTAAAACAACATTATCAATTGAAATAGGTTTAATACATTTAAAAGAATAATCTATGTTGTCGTCTGTGATCAAAAAATATGGATTGAGTTTCTAAATTATAATTACAATTTTACTTAGATTTCAGCCTCTGATCTTTTTTCACAAACTTCACATAATTCAGGACATCTTATGCATTAACCATTTGTCAAGCTACGAATAGGTTCATAGTAATTATTTAATGGGCATTATACACAATAATATAAGTTTTGCCTCTAATTTTCTTGACAACTTAAGCATTCTGATGTGCAATAATTCACACATGAAAAGTTTTAATTTTATGCATATCCATCAATGCACTCTAATTAATAGTCGTGTTAATTTAGTATTTGACTTTCCTGGTTATCAGTACCAATTATATCTCTTTAATAAAAATACTAATTTGGTAAAAATTTCATAATAAAACTTTGTACTCTCTAAATCCAAGCATCATAATCAGTTTAATCTCCATCAATCACAATTATTGCATTTTTATAAGAATTTGGATAACAATTTCCCCTTTTGACAGAAGTTGTAAAGCCTATTTAACAAATTATGCATCTAATTTCCTACCAAGGAGTGAAAATACATTATAAACAATTTTCGATTAACTTGCCGCAATTAATTATTTCCAATGCTATACTAAAATCAGTTGATGATAAAGTGCATATTTCTTAATTCTATAAATTAACAAATGACCTTAAGCAATTAGAAATGGAAGGTTATTTATAATTACATTCTCCAATTATAAAATCAAAAATGAAATTTTCTTCACAAAGTGCACATCCTATTTTAGTATATTCATCAAATTCAAATATCTCAAAGTTTGCATATAAAGTACATTTCCCTAAATCATTTTTATTATATTCAAAACAATATTTGCAATTTTTAATAGGGCATAATTTGCATTCTTTAAGAGAGCTTAGGTAATAAGGAGTTCTACAACTTTTTAGGAAATTTGGCTACTAAAATTAACTCGTACATTAACCATTTATTATAGGTAAACTAAGACCACAATCAATACATTTCATCCCTGTCATTTCTATAGAACATTTAAAGCAATCAAATATATTACATTCATAGCAATGATCTGCCCATGAATTTTGACAAAAAAAATTAAATTTTTCTTGTTATTAAGAGAAGAGTTAAAATATACTATCAATATCAGAAAAATGTTAAGTTTTCCATTCTCTACATAATTATGGTTCTAAACCATCAAAAGTAAATAGATTTGATATTGGGTCTTGGAATGTCTTAGCAGTATTTCCATTAGGATTCAAATATACCATAGTTCGACAATATGCATCATCTTTCCATCCTTTTACATTTTATAAACACTCTAAACACGTTATCAATTTATCTGAAATAATTGAAGGGCTATATATTAATAAATAATTTACCATGGATAGCATGAATCATCATACTCAAAGTATCCAAATTTACAATCATTATCCTTTTATAAATCCTTTATGTCAAAAGATTAATCAGAAAATGCTAGGCAGTTCTAATTCATTTGATCATCTAATTAATTATATGGACATATGCACGCTTTATGTTGTGGTAAGTATATTCTATTTGATGCTGCAGAGCATGATAAACAATCTGTATTTGTTGGACCATCACAATCTTCACATGAATAATGGCAATTTTGTTGTTATATCTATTACTAACAATTATAAAATATATTATTTCGAGTTTAAATATTTAAATAGTTCCTCTATGTTTATATTAAATTTCCATATTATATTTAAAATTATACAAATCGAAATTATTTGACTGGATGTGATATAGAATATTCGTATACATCATACTAATCAAAAAATTTTATTTAAATGAAAATTTAGTCTTATATTAGATTAACAAATAAACTGTGCCATAAAGTAATTTTATGATTTAATTCAAATTCTTCAAAAATAATTAAACTGTTATCACTATTTGTAAAATCTAAAGTAACAGATGGAAAATTATAACTATATGTAGTAATTATTATTTTATTATTATTTGGGGATATCTTATAGAACAATTAAAATGGTGATAGGTTAGAATTAGATAATTGTTCAGATCTAGTGTTTTTACTCATTTTTAGAAATTGATAGATGAATTCATCATCAACTTGATTTATTTTTATAATTCTAAACCACCCAGCTAATATAAATGAATCAGTGTTGAAGTTTTCTGAAATAAAAGATTTTACGTCTAACCAAAGTAGATCAAAATCTGGTATTTTGGAAGTTATCGAATTTTCACAAATAATTTCAGAGACATCTTCAAAAAAGAATAAATAACGATTTATTCCATTTTTTAATTACAGGTCTGATAAGTGTTTTGGAATGAAACTGATTTAATACATCTTACCTGGAAAATAAGAAAATCTCTACCCAACTTCTATCGATTTAAGATTTGAATTTTATACAATTAGGCTTCCTCCAATAATGAGCTTTAGATAATTTTCTTTAAAGAAAATAGTGTCTACTTTTTTCTAAAGCAAAATTTCTTTGCCTTTTACAATCATGAATTCTGATATACTTTTTTAAGGATAGTATAATAATTCAAATAAATACCAAACACTTTCATACTCAGATGGTTATATGTCCAATTTATAAAAATGCTATTAACCATCCAAAGTGTTAAAACTTACGAATTTTTATATAATTTAACTTTCAGGTTGAAGGCAATCATAATAAATGAATTCCAAGCTTCTTAATGATTTTCCAATTATACTATGCTAATGAAAGCAATTGCTATCCATTAAACCAACAATTCCTACTTACTATGTTATGCCTAAGGGATTGTATCTCGACCAGATTCCAACAAATAACCCAAAATCAGCTACTAATAATTGACTCAAATCTATGTTTTTTTCAACTAATTAGTAGTCCTAACCCACTATTTAAAGGGACTAAGAATATACAATTTCCAACAAAGAAAAAAGATTTAAAATCTAAAGTATCTTCATAATATATTTATTAATAAAAAAGTATAATTGTTAATGAAATTTATGAAATGTTGAATGGATCAAACATCATCTCTAATTTGAGAAAATTTACAAAATTATTTAGGCTTGGGTGGATGCTTGATTTTTTGTGATAGTTTTGTTCTTGGTAAAATCCCCAATTCCTTTTGCAAGTTTAGTTTCTATTATTTGAAAAAATTACTTAGTAAATATTTCAAAGTCACTTAATCTTGAGTTTCCAACTTAGGTGACGAGGTAGTGCTTTTTTGCTTTTTTTATCAAAAGTGAACTTAAAATTCACTGCTTAATATATTATATTTATATATTTTATTATTTAATATCTTTAATGCAGCATTTTCACTTTTAAAAGAAAAGTATTTATTTACAAATAATCCTTTAGGGATAATCAGCTTTATTTTTACTCTTATTGAAATTTAACCTGCCAAATGGTACTTTTAACATTACATTCAATTTACCTGAAGTAAAGAAATCACATGAAAGGGGACTTTATTCTTCTTTCAATAATGCTGTTGCTTTTTAGAGTTTTTTATTAAAAAGTAAAAATCAGTTAAGACTTACAGGATATGTTAATACCAGAATTGAATTATGAATAATAACAATTATTAAACAAAATCTCTTTTAATTTTATTTTTATATTTTATTTATTAATAATCTCTTTATTTTAGAGATTATGTTATCATCAAAAAAAGAATTTAGTTGATGGTTTTATTTTTTATTTTAACTAGCTTTTAAGTTACTAAATGGTTATTTTTTTTATGCAATCATATTATACCATATCCAAAATATCTGAAAGACAGATTAGTTGATTCTTATAAATTATGAGTTGCAATCTTCAGGGTGCGATTAACTTAAACTAATATTATCTTTCTATTAGATAAGGAATATCCCAGATTAAATGACATCCATATTCCCTATCTTAACCACTACTGCCAAGTTAAATCTATCATTCTAATAAATTATCCAATCTACCTTATTTATATTCTCTTAAAACCCTTCAAATACATCAAATATCCTATTTATTTGAACTTTTTCTTATTCCTTTCGAATAATATTTGCAATAAATATATTATTTTGATCATTATTTCATAATAACTAATTATGAAGAATTTAATTAATTTCTTAAGTATATTCGTTATTTTTACATATTAAATTTAAATAGATCATTTTATAATATACTCATGATTTCAGTTTTTTTCAAAGATATTAAGTTCTTTTTTAGCTATGTTTTCATCTTCATCATAATTAAAATTGAAAACATATAGTTTTATGAATAAATTATTTAAGGAACAATTTCTAGATTTTTTTATAAAACAAGGATTGCTCCTGCATTTTAATGCCCACAACAATAATCAATAGCACTAAATACTGTTAAAAATCTACCATCTGAATATTAAAAAATTAAATACCTGCAAATCTTTCAATTCCATCTATTATACATTCATGACTACGATTTATTAGAGGAAGATTATTTTTCTTTTGAAAATCATATACTCAAACAGATCCAAATCTTATAATATTTGATATGTCATTAGGTCTCTTTTAAAATTTGGTTTTATTCCATAATTTTAATCAGAGTCGGTAGATGATTATTAATGAATTTTCTGGAGCTGATAATTCATGTGAGATTTAGTTTGTTATAGATTTTCAATATCATTCACAAAACTTAATGAATTGCTTATAAACAAATTGTTTAATCTTCAATAATTGCAGCTAAAGGTAACCATTCAAATAATTTATTAATTTTAAAAAATACAGAATTATTAGATTTTGGATCTTCACCTAACCTATGAGCACATTCTTTTGAAAATCAAAAGAAATCATTTATCCATTTATCTTCATGATTTCCTCTTATTAAATGTAGAGATTCAGGATATTTAATCTTTAGGCCAAAAGTATCAAGATTATTTCTAGTTAGTTTGTTCCTCTAACCATAAAACTTCCTAGAAAAAGATAATCACATGCTTCAATATCACAATCCTTACCATCCAAAAAAGGAGATCCCCATAAATCGAAATGTCTCAAGAAATAATTATATTGCCCATAAAGATCCCCAAAGATTTTAATTGGAGCTTTACATCCCAAAATAATTATGAATATTACATAATGTAATAATATCTTATTTGAAAAATAAGAATTTTGTATTTTCTTAAAATTTTAACTATTACTTTGGTTATAATAGTTTATTTATAAACTAAAGTGCGATTTCAATTTCTTTTTTTTAATCAGATTATAAAGGTCTAATTCATGTATATAAGAATTTAGAGCCCTCCTTAATTACTAATTAGTTGAAGAATTTAAAAAAGGGTTCTTCAATTTGATTTTATTTGACCAATTTCTATTTATTCTTTTGTTAACTACTATTTAATCCTTTTTTATTCATCAAAAATTAGTCTAATTGGATAAGAATTTTTCAGATAAAACAAACATCTTCTTTGGAGAAAGTGATAATGTAGAGAGACTATTATTACAATTGTATCTATTGTTTTTGGCTTTGAGAAATCACCATATACTAAACAATTTATCTAATTTTTATTACCTTCAACTTTTTGCCATAATTTTATATGCAGATCAAATGAGAATAAGTCTTCTGAACTTAATTTTATTGATTGTAAATAATCTTATTCATTCTTTCATAGTTTATTGATCTATTTATTTATGGATTTCTTCATTTATCAATTAGAAATATCTTGTTTTAATTATTCTTAAAGAAGTTGGAATTCAAAATTCTAATTTTCTATGAAACCTTAAAAAAAAGTTAAATCATCTGATATAATACTTTTACTAATCATGATCTGCAGTTACAATATTTGCTGATTTGAATTACGAAATATTAATGTACTAATAATAGTAATAATAGTAATGATGCTGCTTGATGTATATATTCAAATTTGAATTATAATTTTCTTGAAGAAAGTACTTCATAAGAACAAACTTCATCAACATAACTCTAAAGCCCAAATAGAATTTCGATTAGTTATTTAAGGAACTTCAAAATTTATTTTTAAATTAAAGTCAAATAGATCTTTAGCAAAAGAATTTGCACTAATCCCAAATCTCCTTTTGAAGAGCTAAATACTTTATTACAGATCCTAAGTTTTAAAAGACTTTGCTTATCTATTGATTCCATTTATCAAGCGCCGTACAAGTTATAGCATTTTTTAAAGCACAGTTATAATGTTGATAAAGTTATAGAAGGAACATTATTATAAGTCGTTGTCAAATAAATTTTTTATTTAATTTACTTTTTGGAACTAGATTAATCATGAATGAACGATTTAGGAGGTATATTATTTTTATTGAAATAATCTTATGACATAGGCTTGGTTAACTGCTTTTGAGTATAATATTACATAAGACACTCGTAATATTATTTTTTTGATTTCTCAATGAATATTTTCTTAACACATATAGAAACGTAAATATGATTTTTAAAATATATTTATATTTATCAAATTATTTTTATAATGCCTTTTATTACAAGGAAATATAATATAAATTTAGAGAGCTTAATTATAAGAATTCGACGGAATTACAAGAAAAATTGGTATAATAAAATAAATCAAAAGAAGCAAGTTAATAATATTAGTTTAATTTAATTGGTCAATGATTTGGCTAAAAATAGGTAAATATGATCAAGGGTAATATTAACCAAAACCTCTTTGAGAGAATAAAATAATTTTCATTTTCTCATAATATGCTTTTGATTAATTTGGATCAAGCTTAATGGTTAAATTAAAATCATTGATTGCTTAACCATTTCTATCCAATATTTCTAACTAAAATATATCTAAAATATGTATTAAACATTTTTCTTTAATAAATAGGATATATCTCTTATTCAAATATGTTAATTTTAAATTAGAATTTATTTGAATTGCTGCATCAAAACTTTTAATTGTCTTTCTATAACTTTCTTTCTGTTGTAATAGATATCCTAAGTATGTACATCTTAGTAATACCATAATTATTATGAGCGTCAAAACTATTATAGTTTATTTAATGAATTCTTCATAACATTTTAATAGCTTAATCATATTATTTCAATTTATGAAATCAATAAATTTCATATCTAGTAATTTAATGAAAAAGCTGATATTTATAAACTAATTTATAAATATTACCTTTATTAAATAAGGCTAAGCAATGTTTGGAGTCTAAAGCTAAAACCTAATCACAAGCTTTAACAGCTTCAACAAATTATTATAATTAAATTAATGCATAACCTTTGAAATAGGAATCAACCAATTACTTTTATAATAATACACTTCAATAAAATTAGACGAAATATTTATAGCATCATCGTAACATTAAATTGCATTTGAATACTATTACATTTATAGTAATTATCATTTATATGCATCTATTTAAGGCATTCCCTAAAAATAATTTATCAAGAACCTTTTTGATAAAATATTTTCGGCTATTTCAAATCTAAGCTGATTAATTAATTGAAGAAATTTATACTCTCTGAATATTTTTTTAATCCCACTAATATGTTTGCTGGCACTATAATTATTTGATAATCATCTTTTTTCAAAAGAGCTTATTTATTGAGAGGAGATAATTCTAAAACTTAATCAAAGCAATTCAAAGCTTCTGTAAACCTATTTAAACTTAATAATGCCTATCCTTTAAAAATATAACAATTACATTTACCATTTTTGATAAGGGCTATTTTGCTTTTATTATCATTTTTAAGGACTTAATCAAAAGATTCTATTGTCTCCAAATATTTTTTAAGTATAAATATTATTTAAAGATCTTACTTAAAATTTAAGGATCTTCTTATTTATATATAAAACTTTGATACCTTTGTTACTTATTTATCTTAAGAATAAAATTTTAATTTGAATTGATATAAATGCTTGAAATTGAATAGACATTTATAAAATTTTCCTAGATTGAGTTAATTATGATGAATTAATAAAATTTTTAAGATATCTGTGAATGTAATAAAGATGAGATAGGAAAAAGGGTTCGATTATAAAATTATAAATCAATAAAGTTTGATTACTGTTCTATTATATTTTATATTAAAAATAAAACAAATCCCCTTTTTAAGCACAATCAGTTTACAGATTATAAAGCTATTGAACAAAATTATTGAGCCAAGAGCTAAGTCTATTCTAATGGAAAAATGTAGGAAAATATTTATATTAATCCTGAATATAACTAGAAGGAAGAAATAATAATATATCAAAACCTTAAAAACCTAATGAATCACATATAATTCTTCATAGAATAAAATTAAAAAAATTATAGGATATGATACAATATTTTAGAAGATATACCTAAATTTTTGATTAATATCTTCAATTTCTTCATTAAAATTTAATTTAAATTATTATTATCTTAATACATCCTCTTTTAGTTATATGTTTATTACTTACTCATAATGAGAATAAATCTAATTAATTAAAGACAAAAGTAGTCTTAAATATATATAATCTTTTATATGACAAACTGAGAATTCTTATTTGTTTAAAAGTTGAAAAAAATAAAAAATCCTATCTAATTGAAAAATAGGCCAGGTCTAATAAACTTGTTTAATGTTTTGATTTAATGTGAAAGAATTTAACTATTTTACTAACTTGTATATGATTGTTTTATGACTACATTAAAGAGATTAAAACGGCACATAATTGATAACTGTTATTTAATATTTTTATAGGCGAATATTAATAGAACCAAAGATAGAGATACTTTAAATAATTAAAATTTAATTAAATGATATATGTTTTGAATAGATTGATTCCATTAAAAAAAGTAACTATTATACTATTTCGCTCTCAAGATTATTAATTTTTTAAAATTCATAGGTTTAACTCATTTTTGTGTAAATATTCAAAAAATTAAAATTATTAGGAAAAATCCACCATCAAAAAAAATAAAAGCTAAAACATAGTTTATTTACAATACTAAAGCTTTTAAAAATTTAAATGTTAATACTATTATTTTCTAAAATAATTATGAACTTATATTTATATATACAATTTATATTTAAATTAATAATTATGGCATAGGATCATTTAAATTAAAAAAAGGCTCTTTTATTTCTAAATAAGTCTCATAATGACAAATAAGAAGAGGCTTTATCCAAAAAGCTGTAAGATTGTTGTAGATATTTAAAATTTTAGATCCTAAATAGATATTGTTGGATGGAAACCTCACTATCCTAGACTTAATGATGGTAAATATGTAGTTCACACAACATTCCAAGTTAAAATCACAAAATCAAAACAAATAACATACATATCGGATGGAGAAATACTTAGGTAAATTTAAATATAAAGAACAAATAGAAAAGAAAAGTTTCATCAAAAGGAAGAAATAAAAATATATTTAAATTTAGATTAAATTAAGTCCTTAAAATGGAAGTGTTCAAAAGAAGATGAGACTCAAACAATAGTAAAATATGTAGGATGCTGGAATGGTAGATTAACCAATTTAGGAGGGATCGTTGATGAATTTGGTTATAGAATTGGGGAATGGATTGAACCTTGTGATACTTATTGTAGGTAATTAATTTAATTTAAATGTAGTCCATATTAAATAACATTTTCTGGAACTTATGGAAAAAAAGGGTAGAGAATTGGTTAATGGATCTATTGGTATGAATACGAGAGAATGTATTAATCTTGATAATTATTAGAGGGGGTGGTCATTATGATGAAAATGGAAGAAAAAATGGATAATGGTGTGAAATTCACAGAAGCTATGATCATTAGTAAGTAATTTACTTAATTAAGTCAAAAAGTAATCATAATTGGAGATTATATTAAAGGAATGAAAAAAGGAAGATGGTCAGTGTTTGAGAACAATCATTTAATGTAGATATTCTATTTATATAATAAGTGGAGAAGGGTCTTATAATGAAAATGGTCAGAAAATAGGGAAATGGACTGAAGTATCCGAAAGTTACTAAGAGTATAATAATTCATAACTTATTAAATTATAAGTTATATGTAACTAATATTTGGTGGACAGTACAAAAATGGTGTAAGAATTGGAAAATGGTTAACATATTATATGGGATAAACTCTATGTAGTTAATACACAAATAATGATGAAAAAGTAATGTATGATTTTCTGTAAATAATAATTAGAGGAGGTGGATTTTATGATGAATTTGGATTAAAATAGGGATACTGGGTAGAATTTTATGAGGGTGGATATTCCTAGTATTTTTTCACTCTAATTGTAGTCGTGCTTAATTTAGAATTGTGGGTGAATACAAAAATGGTTTGAAAAATGGATTTTGGAGAATCATAATTTTTATTTTAGATGGCGATGATGTTGTGTAATTTTATTTAATTGAATATTTAAATAGAGGAGGAGGTCTTTATGATGATAAGGGAAAGAAATCTGGCGAATGGATTGAAATAATAGAAAACGGTGATTTAGTTTTGATATCTGAAGTGGGATTATATAGGTATGGAGTTAAATTCGGATAATGGGATACCTATTTTCTATTTAATAATCAAAAAATGTTAATATAAATAAATAGCTTAGTGGAGGAGGCTGTTATAATGAATAAGGCTTAAAATCTGGATAATGGATAGAATAACATGATTAAAATAATTTAGACTAAATGTAAATTGTTGAAAAATTAAACTATAGAATAACCCATAGTGGAGAATATAATGAGGGTAAAAAAATGGGTTGTTGGAAGACTATATTAAATGATGAAGGATTATTTTCTAAAATGTAAGTTGTAAATATATAAATTTTTAAAAGCGGAGGTGGATTCTACAACAATTAAGGGTAAAAAATAGGTCAATGGATAGATATACTGAGTTAAACTTACAATGAACTAAGTTTATGTAATTAGATATAGTTAGTTTTAATTAATGGGTGTTATAAAGATGGCGAAAAGAATGGTTAATTTGATACATATATTTATTCAAAAGAATTGACTAAAGCTCAGAAGATGTAAATTATTAATATCATTAAAAGTGGAGGTGGTTATTATTTTGACGGTATGAAAGTAGGAAAATGGATCGAAATTAACTAAAACTATTCGAGGTAAAGGATTTAATAACAATAGCAATTGTATAGATTCAATTATTCAACATGGAAGATATAGTGCTGGAATGAAAATCGGAATATGGGAAACATCAAAAGCTTAGAAAATCAGGTATTTGATCAATAATCAACTTAAGGGATTTTGGATATTATGGTTCGAATGGGGATAAGGAAGGAAAATGGATAGAACAATTTATATATACCTGCATGTATTCTTATGTCATATTTAAAATAGGATAAATTTATTCAGTATGGGTTAGTATAGCAAAGGAAAAAAAATTGGAATATGGCAAATAATGTATCTAAAGTCTAAGAAGGACATTATAATAATGTAAAAAAATAGTAGTTAATAAAAATCTTTTAGTGACTTTGGGAGTTATAAAGATGGAATTAAACATGGAAAATGGATTGAAATAGAGGAGAATTAAATTACCCATCATGGATATTATAATAATGGCATTAAGATTGGTACTTGGGAAAAGATAAATGTAGGGATACCTAGCAATGAGGATCTTCATAATCATTTTTTTTTTTTATGAATCATTGCAAGATTATTATGATTGAGCTTAAATGTTAAATATTTTTAACCTAAAGGATTTATATCAAACCCTAACTTAGTAGAACATATTAATATTCTTAAAATAGAAAAAGTTCGAATTAACTAATCATAAAAAGGTTGAAAATCAACTTATCATGGTCCTAGAAATTCAAATATTAATATAATATATTAACTGACAAATATATTAAATTAAGCTTTATTAGAAATTTATATAGGCTTTAGAAAAAAAGATCTTTAAACCAAATAATCAGGATTTGGTAAGATCTACTAAAACGAACAAATTCTATCTTTTATTAACTTTCAGTTAAGTATTCAACTTCCTAATGTAAAAGAATCTTTCTAATTGAACAAAAGTTCTGCCTTTTCGAATTGTTTGATATCTAATTCTCTTACATCCTCCTTCAATGGTTCAAGCATATTTACTTATAATCTTTCAGTAGATATTTTCTTTAGATTCTCAATACAAAATTGTGAATTTCTTTTTCATTCATAGCTATGGAATTGCATTGATCAATGATTATATTGATTCTTATAACATCATTGTAACTTAATTATGTTATCTTAAAGATAATTCTTCAATCCAATTAGTTCCCAAGTTAAACTCCACTATCGTCTTTGTATGTCAATATTTAATTGAGTGTTCAATATTTCCATTATTTTCATTTTCTCCAATTCTCTTGAGCTAGCTATCTTTGCCTTTACCTAATTTTATATATATTATCTGCATATATTCATAATACGAACATGATATAAATGATATATTCTTTAGTTTCAGTCCAACTTACTTTGTTTTTAGCTTATCATTTATAGATTCTTAATTATATTATTGATCCTTCGGTCTTGTTTTGTTTCGAAAATAAAATCAATTAATAGAATACCGTTTTTCATTTGCATCTAAAATTAGAGGCTGAATAAATCTAAAAGAATGATAAGAGAAATTTATTTTAAATTCTGTTTTCTTCTAAGTATTCAATAATCAGTTTAATAAAATGAGTATATTGTGCAATAAAAAAAATTATATAACTCTATCTTTCTCTAAAATTTAAAAAAGTTGAAAAATTTTATGTAAATTGGTCTGCTACTATTCTATAATATGTTTAAATTTTCTGTTGAGAAATTAATTATTTAACTTATATAAACATCCTTATAAGAATTGGAAGATCGAAAATAGAAGATTACTTAAAATAAAAGTAATAAATGGGTGGGATATATTGAATAATAGAGATACTATTATATTAACTGTTCTTTATATTAATTTAGATGGGATTTAAAAGATGCCAATGCCAAAAAATACATATAA